TGCGCTTGCACTGACGGGTGGGGTCCAGGGGGTAGATTCATGATTCATCAAGCTGCGTACGCAAAATATTTTGCGTAAATCTTGTGTACGCAAACGACGTTGCTTAGTTGCGATTCATCAACACAGCTATTTAGTAAATTTTCGTACGATTTCGCGTACGCAAGCGAGGCCGTTTTAGGTGCGATTCATCAAGCTAAAATTTACGTAAACCTTTGCGTAACTTTACACGAGCTGACGAGGTGCCCTAAACCACTCGNTGAGGAAGCAGGAGGAGCGAGAATACGTGTTGGAGTAGGCGAGGAGGGAGGAGAAAGGAGGCAGGGGGAAGTGAGGGAGGAGGAGCGAGAGAGACGAGGCAGGAATGGTGTTTGAGTACGGGAGCCGAGGAGAGGAGGAGGAGGAGGAGAAGGTGTTGAGTAAGGAGGGAGGGAGGCGGAGGAGGAGAGAAGGAGAAGAAGGTGTTGGAGTAGGAGGAGGGAGGAGGAGGAGGAGGAGTCCAGTTAGATGGGTCGAAGGCTGACGGGAGGAGGAGCCGGGAGGAGCAACGGGTTTGAGTAGGGAGGAAGCAGGAGGCAGCGGGGAAGGTGAGCGAGGAGTAGGAGGAGGCAGAAGAAGGTGGTTGACTAGCGAGGTAAGAGCGGGAGGTAGGCCAGAGAAGGTGTTGGAAGTAAAGAGGAGAAGGAGGAATAGGAGGAGAAGGCAGAGTAGGGGGGAAGGTTGAGAGGAGGATGGTAGGATGAGTAGCTGGAGGTGAGGAGAGAGAGCGAGGCACGGAGAGAAGGAAGAGGAGGAAGAGGAGGAGTAGGGGCAGGAGCAGGAGGAGGAGGGGAGAAGTTGTTTGAGTAGCGGCAGGAAGGAGGAGCGAGGAGGTGTTGGAAAGTAGGGAGGGAGAGGAGGAAGGAGCTGTGGTTCGGAGTTGAGGCAACCTGTCTCCGTGGCCCCTCGTTCTGTGTCCTGCCCCTCCTCCTTCTCCTTTCCCCCCGGTCCTCCCTGTTACTTCCAACACACTTCTCCCTCTTTGCTCCTACGCTACCTCCTCATCCTCCTCCTCCTCCTCCCTCCTTCCTCCTCCTCCTTCCCTACATCAACACCTTTCCTCCTACCTCCCCACTCAACACCTTCTCCTCTCCTCCCCTCCTCTTCCTCCCTACTCAAACACCTTCTCCTCCTCTTCCTCCCCTCCTCCTCCTCCTACGCCTCCTTTTCCTCCCCTCCTTTCCTCTTTCCTCCTCCTCGGCGTCACATTTGATTTTCAACATTATATTACCATTCATCAGGCAGATAGAGTTTATGCAGCGTCCAGTTCTCGGGCGAGCGTCCAAATACGCCGGTACAGGCCTCCATCTAACACCAGCCGTATTTGTTGTCAGCGCAGGGGCGGCGCCAGGGTATTTTCTTAGGGGGGAGGGGCGAAAACCAGGGCGTGTACAGAAGACGCGAATGAGGTTTTGGGTCTGGGGGCTTCCCCAGCAAATTTTTGAAATTTAGACCCCCTCAGCATGGTTTTTCTGCGCGAGCAGGGAGGGCGTCCGCCGACCCCCCCTGCGCTACACGCCCCTGGGAACTGTAGACTCTGATACGTGTGCGGCTTTGCCACTGACTGGGTGGGGTCCAGGGTGGGTAGAGTTCATGATTCAGCAAGCTGCGTACTGCAAATATTTTGCCGTAAATCATTGTGTACGCCAATTCGACGCTTCGCTTAGTTGCTGATTCCAGGTCAACACCAGCTATTTAGTAAATTTTCGGTACGATTTCGCGTACGCAAGCGAGGCCGTTTAGGGGTGCGATTCATCAAGCTAAAATTTAAAACGTTAAACCTTTGCCGTAACTGTTACACGAGCCTGACGAGGCTGCGTAAACCACTCGAAATTTCCGCAGGTTGTTCAGCATCACCGCAGCACTGCATTTTTTATTGAGAAAAAACATTATAAAATTACTACTCAACTAAAAATAAAAAATAATTACCATATACACAGACACCGTTGCTCGCCTTGACGCTTTTTGTGTTCATAGCTTGGCATAGTTTTCGTTTATAAGCGAGCTTCGTAGTTTAGCCGTGTACAGGTGCACACGCCACGGGCACTTGTACGTGCACACAAGCACGACGCTGTACGTTACACCGCACGCACGCTCACTGCCGTGCTAGGCGTACGGCGAAGGCACGCCACGAACGCACGTGTACGTGCACACGCCACGCACGCCACGCGTACGTTGTCGCTGCTGTTCCACGAGTGTTGTGTAACACACATCATACAAACGAAAATGAGGACAAGTATCACATCCAGCCCACTCCTGTAGACAGCTAGGCCATCATGGGCGCTTTACATACAAGAGAGGCCGCGTCAGTTTTGGCTCTCCTATCGGTATGCTGTCGCACAGTCTGTTGACGTTTCGGTTCTATGCTGGCACGGCCGGTCGCTCAAAGACAGCCAGAGCCTACGATGGCCCGTCCTGTCGGCATTCCTACACCCAGGCAACTCTCATTCAACACTTCTGCGTTACGCAGGTTGCTACGCCCTGCGTTCGATGAATCACATCTACCGAGCTTTGCGCTTACGGTACTTCGTTAGAAACTCTGTTTACGCAATACACTTTAGCGCAACCGTTGATGATCCGGCCAGGCGGCCCGCCCTCACGTGCCCCGTGGCGCGCGGTCCAGGGGCAGCACGGCCTTCCTGGCAGCGGGTCCGGCCGGAAGCTCTCAGAAGTTTAGCTAAAATCAAAGCCCTCAAATTGCTGGACAAAAAAATTGTGCAGGGAACAAGGAGCCAACTATACAAGGACACTCCCGGCAACCCGGGGGGGTGGGAGCTCACCCGCACATTCCACTCCGGTCACCCGGGTATCTGCGTCTGATGTTGCCCTACTCATAAAAATGTAAAAATGGGGGGGGGGGCGGCTTCTGGTAAAGGCTAAACTCAGACTGTAAAATCGCGTGTCTGCTTCGAACCTAATGTTTTGTGATGTGTGCGTATGCCTCGTGCGAAATGAATCTCTCTGTGGGCTGATGGTTTCGAAAATGCTGGGCCGCGGTGTCTCTTGCGGAAACTAGCTAAGGATTCGTTGAAATATCAAATGCCTATGAAACTGGACACCGGGCCGCTTTAAAAGAGGGGTCTCACGGAACTGTGGGGGGAACTAGTGATTTGCCTTTAAGAATCTATGCTGTTAGCACTTGAACCAATTATTGTTGTTTATTATGTATAGAGGAAGAAAAACATGACCTGGAGAGAGATCGAACGCACGCACACGCACACACACAACACACACGACCGCCATGCGCGTGCCGCATTACACACACTAAACTAAAGACTAGACAGAGGGCCACTCACGGAAGAGAGCATACCTCGCCAGCGGACATTACGCCCATACCGGACTACACGAACACACGAATAACCACGATATAACGCCCAGGTACATGTATTGCTCGATTCGTCGCTCAAGTCAAGCCAGCAGCCGGACTGTGGCCTGGCTCGCTCGCCTGACGCGGCTAATATCGATCGCGTCACAACACACGCCACGCACGCACCGCAGCGCACACACACACACACACGCACACACACACACACACACACACACGCTAACGTGTACACGAACGCACAGACCGGATCACATAACCTCCCCTCCTCGTAAAAATAAGATAGCATGTAAGAGTATTATTAGAGGTCAGTCTGAACGTTGTAATTATAATTTATAAGTTGTTAACACCCTCAAGTGTGCCTACCTTTCCGCCGGGAAACAGCATCATCGACAAATGATGGTCCCAACTTGGGACTCCCAAGGAAATAACACCTTGACATCGATTATCAAATTAAGCACAGGTTTTATATGGATTGAATTTCGACACCTAATTTTTCGATTTTTCGATGAAAGTGGTCCAGTTTGTAGGCTACATCACTCATTTTTGGGCGATCCCCCTATTATTTGCAAGAATCTTCTTCTTCTTTACCTTTTTTTGCAAATGATGGGATTCCCCCACCCCACCAATCATTTGCAAGACATTTGCAAGATGTTTCTTTTTCTTTTTCTTCTTTTCCTTTTTCTTTTTCTTTTTCTTTTCTTTTTCTTTTTCTTCTTCTTCTTCTTTCCTTTTTCTTGCAAATAATAGGGGGGGGCGACCGCCCCCCTGCCCCCCCTGTGGCGCCGCCCCTGTATTCAGGTTATACTGATCGTATATGCAGCGGGGACCTTGCAAGGTCTGGTTCCTATATCTGAATTGAGGTCTACTCAAAGATGTTAAAACCAATTGGTTTTAATTAACCAATTGGTTTTAACATCTTTGGTCTACTGATGGAATTTTGTCATATCAATCTATGCTAGGATGACCCCTCTTCATTTTAAATTTATAATTTTTGCAAAATATTATAATCTTCTCGGGAGATAGTGTACGTGCATGCGCGAGCACCGTTTCAGGCGTGCAGTATGTACGACCTAAATAATAATACGTCGTAATATATATACAAATGTATAATATATACCACGGTTATCAATAGCTACTGCATGGAGAGCTATAGCGAGCGCGCGCGTATACTAGCCATTACATATTACAAGTCTACGTTAAATCCATGTGCATGCTTGTAGGATCGGATATGGAGTGGCAAGATTCTGAAACTCGAGACTAGCAAATCCTTTCAATATCCCTTACCTAGGGCACCTATAGCAGCCTTCCTGTATTCACGGTCGCGGTTCATGTATTCAGTTTATAGGCTATATCAATCGGGAGTCATTTGTTATAGGCCTACTTTCTATTTTTTTTCATTTTGTGGAGACAAGCACAAAATAATAATATTATAGAAGGATTATAATTATGCAGAAACACATGTTGAAAAACCTGGGGGACATTTGATATTGTGTCTCCCACCCTTTGAAAAGTGTGGGGGGGGGGAGTGTTCCCATGGCATTTGCGCAAATTATCATGTATCTATTTCTATGTTCCTGGCTATATCGATGTATGTGTAAAAATCCGAGAGATGGCGGTGTTTGTTGTCGTATACAATTAAACATGTCTGCGTCCTTAAGTGTGAAAGCATGACGTGTACTTTGGATCGAAAACACGTTTTACTAGGCGTAACTGGCAGTGTGGCAGCTGTAAAGGTTGCCGAGCTATCTAAAAAACTTTCTTCAATACATGGCGTAAATATGTTCATATATAGTTACTGATTTTCACTGATATAACTTTTATAATCATCCTACATATTATTATTATCGATGAGTCAATCCTAGTACTACTACTAGTACTAGTACTACTAGTACTACTATACTAGTAGTAGTAGTAGTGGTGGTGGCTCATAATAACATTTATATTAGAATGTATTAGCGCCTAGAAACTCGTGATGGGAATCAGTTGGGATTTCGTCATCGATCATCGGTTCACGATTGCACCCAACCGATCGAGATCGAAGATATAAGCCGCGTTCACACGGAGCGAAGGAACTCGGGTCGAAAACGACCCGTGTCAAATGCGTCCCGGGACGAGCGTTCACACGGACGTTTTCTCGGTACGAAAACCACTCGGGTCGGAACGACCCGAGTCGTTTTCGCACCCACTCCAGAGTGGGTGCGAAAACGACTCGAGTCCTGGTTCATTTTTGCCGTGTGATCGCGCGACTCGGGTTGGAATTAGTACGTCACAACACGAAAGTAAACAGAATAGTTGGAAGTCAGTCAGAAGAGTTTGATTGTTTAATTCGCATTGTTCGCTTGGACGCATTGTATTTTTTTCTCAGCTCACAGCTCGCATAGCGTCGTGTGAACGCTCTCTTCAACGACGCTCCGTGTCGTTTTCGACACGGGTCGTTTTCGACCCGTGTCAAATGCGTCCCGGGACGAGCGTTCACACGGACGTTTTCTCGGTACGAAAACGACTCGACCAGGCTGTGTGACTAACGTCAAT